CAAACCTGGTGGTACCAACCTGGTCCTATTCAAACCTGGTGGTACCAAACCTGGTCCTATTCAAACCTGGTGGTACCAACCTGGTACTACTATTCAAACCTGGTGGTACCGAACCTGGTCCTATTCAAACCTGGTGGTACCCGAACCTCGTAGTACCAAACGTTGTAATACCAACCCTAGTGATACCAAACCTGGTACCAATCTTGGTGGTACCAAACCTGTTGCCAACCCTGGTGGTACCAAACCTGGTGGTATTCAAATCTGATAGTATGATCCAAACCTGGGTCTCCGAATTAAGTAGTACCAAGGGGTATTCAAATCTGATAGTACGATCCAAACCTGGGTCTCCGAATTAAGTAGTACCGAACCTTGTAGTACAAGCCTTGTAATACCGAAGTTGGTGGTACCAAACCTGTTGCCAAACGTGGTGATTCCGAACCTGTGACCGATCCTGGTGGTATCCAGGCGGTATCTGAACCTGGCTTGGAATAAACCTGGATCCTTTACGCATTGTGCCAAGCCTCTTCTAAGCACTGGCGAAAGGCACAGTGTGCTGCTGCCTGTTGAGGGTCAGCCATTTTGTTCTTTTTCTTTCTTTGCTTTGAAAGGTCAAATCGGCTTGAGGAGCCAGGATCAGATGGCAATGCTCGGCCAGGCCACGGGAAGCTGGGTGCAGTAAATCCCTAGACTTCTCGCCCTTATAATTACACACACACACTACCTCTCCCTCACTACTGGCCAGGATCTTTCACCAGCATGCGCCGTGCTCTCCCCACCTAATGTCAAGTGAGCTTATATGTGCCTGGGGTCTGCACGCACGAGAATCTGACTGAGTACCACGGACATACGGCCCAACAACAGGCAGTTTGAGCTATCCCCGACCATCCGCAAGGGGATCTTTCCCCCTGCACAGACCAGTGCACCCCCCAGGTCCCCCATCCTCCTGTTCTCTTGATACGTCATTGAACGCCCAACTATATATTTCTACACCTTGGATTTTCCAGGGGGGGCACTCCTGTGTTCTCTTGCATAGTCTATTGCAGCGGTACATTGTGGAGGGTCCCCATTCCATGCAGCGCATGGGCCGTGAGGACCCCGCCACCGAGCTAGGTCTGAGCTATTGGTAAGCATCCCTAAGGGGATCTTTTCCCCTGCACAGACAAATGCACCCCCATCTTCCTGGTCGTAGGATATGTTGTAGGATCTTTTTCTACACCTTGGGTTTTTCTATCTAATGTATTGTATTGTGATGATACATCCATGGAGGAGGTTCCGCATTCCACACTGTGCATGCACCATGAGGACACCCCACTACCTAGCTAAATCCTATTGCCCATCGTCGCCGCTCCCCCCCCCCCTCTTTGTACTGCGCTAGGCTACTCGACCATCCCTCCCCTGACTGGGGCCCAGACTCCCCCTCAGACTGGCTATTTCTCCTGAAGACTGTTGTGTTGCCGTAAGTGCAAGGTTCTAGATGTACCCCACACAAACACCCTACACTCAGAACCTGGCCATTCTATTGAGTAACTCTTCATGCCGCGATCAACCCCCCCCCCCCCCCCCCCCCCCCCCCCCCCCCCCYTTCAAAAAAGGAAGACCCAAACAGAACGCCCATCGATTCTTCCATTGTCTTTTGTTCTGTCACGGCCGCGTTTACTTTTTCCAAGTTTGGCGATCGACAAGCAACACATCATTTTTTTATTTTCAAGTCCCAACGTTGCGTTGTTTTTCAATCGGCCGACTTGCCTTTCTATGCCGTTATTAAACCACCACCATGCACCTACCGTCTTAACCCTAATGCAGCGTACGGTCATTATAGTGTCAGAGGTGTTGTGGATGTTGTGGTGGTTTTGGTTGGCGTGGTGGTGGTTGTTGCTGTTTTTGTTGCTGTGGTTGTTGTTGTTGTTGTTGTTGTTGTTGCGGTGGTGGTGGTGGTGGTGGTGATTGTGGTGGATGTGGTTGTGGTGGTCATGGTGGTGGTGGTGGTAGAGGTGGAGGTGGTGGTTGATGGGGTGGTGTTTGGTTGGTTTGTGGGGTGGGGGATTGGTTGGTTGGTGTGGTGGTGGATTGGTTGGTTGGTGTGGTGGGGGATTTGTTGGTTGGTGGGGTGGGCGGTTGGTTGGCTGGTGGGGTGGGCTGTTGGTTGGTTGGTGGGGTCTTTCTATGCCGTTATTAAACTATCACCATGCACCTACCGTCTTAACCCTAATGCAGCGTATGGTCATAGTGACGGAGGTGTTCTGGATGTTGTGGTGGTTTTGGTTGGCGTGGTGGTGGTTGTTGTTGTTTTTGTTGCTGTGGTTGTTGTTGTTGTTGTTGTTGCGGTGGTGGTGGTGGTGGTGATTGTGGTGGATGCGGTTGTGGTGATCATGGTGGTGGTGGTGGTTGAGGTGGAGGTGGTGGTTGGTGGGGTGGTGTTTGGTTGGTTTGTGGGGTGGGGGATTGGTTGGTTGGTGTGGTGGTGGATTGGTTGGTTGGTGTGGTGGGGAATTTGTTGGTTGGTGGGGTGGGCTGTTGGTTGGCTGGTGGGGTGGGCTGTTGGTTGGTTGGTGGGGTGGGCTGTTGGTTGGTTGGTGGGGTGGGTGGGTGGTTTGTTGGTTGGTGGGTTGGTTGGTTGGTTGGGAGGGTGGGCGGTTGGGTGGGTGGTTGTGGTTGTGGTTGCTCGTGTTCTTCTTCTTCTTTGTCTTTGTTTTTGTTGTTATACATTGTGGTTGCTGTTACAATCCTGGCTATCCTGCAGTGTGTGCAACAACTCAATGCCATTCAATTGCAACTGAAAAGAAAGAACTTGGAAAGAGAAATTGACAAAGGCAGATGAAGAAATGACAACGGAAGAAGAAGAAGAAGATGTACACCAGCAAAGACCAATGTCCAATCCCCATTCATCTCACCACCATCTCCAACCTCCAATTACTCCCCCAACTTCTTCTTGACAATAATAGTAATGATAACAATGAAAGAATGAACCAGAACCAATGTTTGAATCGCCGCCTTACTGCCAGTCGTTCAAGACGTCCACCGTAGCCATCTCATACACCTTCCTCCTACTTCGTCGAGCAGGTGGCTATGGTGGACTGTCGAAGTGAAGCTCCGATGTGCCGAGGGCAACACAAAGCTAATGTGTCCCTCCTACGATGGCCGCCATGCCTAGCACTTCCCCGAAGTCTTCCTTATCGGTTCCAACCCCAACCGGGGCGTTCGAGGTGCAGCGCCAACCAAGAAGATGAAGATGCAGACCACCATAGCCAGGTAAGCACCCCCATAACACTCATCCTTGCTCCTACTACTTCTACTACTACCCCGGAGTCTCCTCCTTGGTCCTCTCCACCATAGCCAAGGTGGTGGGCGAGGCCCGCCTCCTTCCTCCCCAGCACTGCCAAACTTGAGCGCTCGCTCCACCAGCTTGTCGCCCAAACTTCCGTGCTGCAAATGAGGAAGAGCTCTTCGCTCTCTCCCTAGATATGCTGGCCTATTGCCTCTTCAGGCGGTGCCTTTCCAGGCCGCCCGGCCTCCCAAGCTCGCGGGAAACATCATTGCATTCTGATATCCCCTCCTGCAGGCCCCGGGCTACTGGACCGGTACTAAGCCGMCCAGACTTCTTTTTTTTTTTTTTTTTAATTTTAACCAGACTTCTAAAATTCCTTCGGCCTCTCCTGCCTACCTACCTGCTACTTGAGTGTTTTCCATTTTGCGCCGCCCTACCGTCTTCACCCGAATATAACGCCTGGTCATTATAGCTGTATTTGGCACAACTTTCAGCCCAGGTACGGTGATAATTAGCGGGCGTTCTATTCGGGTGAAGATGGTAGGCTGCTCGTAATTTCCCACTGCATCAGGTTTAAGTACGAGGCCCGTATGCCTTCCCAGCACACAACTACCCTGGCGGGTCACACACACACCCAAGCAGTGAGGCAGTCAGGCAAACACACGGAAACTCAGCAATCATGCACACACACACACACACATACTTCGAAATCTGAGCAGAATACGGGAATCTCAGCAAGTCAGAGTATAGTCACACTAGGAACTCAAAATCACAAAATCGCAAAATGAGCGGCCAGATCGAGTCCTTCATGTGCAAGAGTGCAATCTGGCCCCCATTTTGTGATTTTGCGATTTTGAGGGCCTAGTGTGAGTATGCCCTCAGTAGTAAGTCAAACGGCAAACATCAGATTTCTCAGTCTGCGATTTTGCAGGTCGTTACATTGTCTGGTTTGGCTCCTTTCCTTGGTGATTGCCAGGGGGTTGGGGTGAGTTGTGTTATGGTGGGCGAACGACCTGCTGGGGTGGGAGTACTCAGTTCGGGGCTGGTCTGTTAGGGTACGGGTAACGCAGGTGCTGTTGGCAGCAGTGGCCGTGGCGATGGCTGTAGTAATATTGGCCATGCTGATGGTCGTTGTGATGTCATGGTAGTTGATCGCTACGGACATTGTGGTCTGAGTCCTTTGGTGGCGGTGTCCCTGGCGATCAAAGCGAGGGCGGGGTGGTGGGGTCGGCAGTGGGCACAGTTTGCAGTTGCTGTGGAGAAGTTGGTTGTTGTGGGAGTGGTCATGATGGTGGCTGTGCTCGTCATAGTCGTGGCTATCGTTTGCAGTTGCTGTGGAGAAGTTGGTTGTTGTGGGAGTGGTCGTGATGGTGGTTGTGTTCGTCATAGTCGTGGCTATCGTCATCTTAGACGGTAGAAGTCATTGTTGCCCCGTCCTATTTGTTGTTGCTTGATTTCGTTTGGCGGCTTGGCAGTCTGTTTTAGTTTTAAGAAGCCAAATCAAGGTGACAACAACAACACTGCTGCCGTAGTCGACGGATCAACTACGGTTTTGGACTGGCGGACGCCTCTATGCTGCTGCAGTTGTGTGGGGGTATCCTGTGTACTTGATCGCCGTACAATGCTCGGGACTGGCAGAAGTTTCGACGCGGAAGATGATTGCAGTGTATTCAACCATGCAATCAAAGCGTTGGCAGAAGGGAGGGAGCAAAGCGTCAGAGAGGAACATGAAAAACGCCTATTGGAAATCCTCATGCAGAGAACACGGAAGCAACGCGAACAACTGGTCCCGAAGTATTCCGAGATGTTCGGTGGAGATCTTATTGCTGAGTTGAAGGCTGTGGCGCCTGCTTCTCTTCACGAAGGCATCGACATTTTTCTTCTTCCGTCAGCGAGAAGGGATGCGACGTTGCTACACAATGCGATCAGCGGGCTCGGGACGGATGACAGATGTTTGATCGACATCTTGTGCATGCGATCATCAGCAGAGATCACAGACATTTGTACAGAATACAAGCAATGTTTCCATCAGGAACTTGAAGATGATCTAAGAGGCGATTGCTCGTCCAGTTTCTACGACCTTCTGGAGAAACTTCTCCAAGCCAGAAGGCCAGGAGAAGAGGACTGTGTCGTCGACATTTACAAGGCAAAAGCATCTTCTATGGAACTGTAAGTGGTGACCAACCTACACAACAGTTTCAAAAAAAAAAAAAAAAAAAAAAAAAAAAAGTGAAGAAACAACCTATATATATGCGCAGATATGCTCCGTTCTCAACGGGTCAGGCCACAGTCACACACGCTCAGACTTTTTCGTGGAATGATTTCTGGAGTCTGGGCGTAATTTAGATCGAGGCCGCACATGTCCAGGACCGGCCGAAACTGTGGTCAGATACATCCAAGCAAGTTCTAGTGTGAGTATGATCTCAGTTAGTTTTTTTTTTTTTTTTTTTTTTTTTTAACCGCTCCATCTCTTGGTGGGGAGCTGCACCTGCTGGAAATCGGGTCCAGCGTCCCTTTGAACAGCAGAATGATCACAATTGGTTGAAGGGACCACAAAGCAGTCACTCTATCAGGCCGTGTATTTTTGTCGTTTTCACGTCTGGACAGTTGTAGCGGTACCTTTTTCGGGACCAGCCCCTGGAAGTTCCTGGACCAGGTCGGCGTCCAGGTCCACGTTCGTGCGCTCTTCCAAAGGCTGATCATTGTGCATGTTTTGGGTTAAAATCATTCATTCATTCGGATTCATCCCATCCCGGCCGGTACTGTTGCTGCCTCGATCCCAGCCGCCGTTGCACAATGATGCTCCTCCTCTGCTGTCCTCTGCGATGGCTTGTCTTGTTGTTGGGCCCTTCTTCTTCAATCTCTGGACGGATGGATTCGATCTGTGGACCTATCAATGGACAATGCCTTCCGTTATTATCCAGTGCGGTTGTGTGGGGGGGGCGGGTTGCAGGGGGGGGGGGGGTCAATGATGAGGTTGTCTGTGCCGTCCATCCCGTGTGCTGTTGGATGTCCAGGTCCGTCCGCTTCGGCCCTTCCCATCCTCTATCACCCCCTTCACCTCACGATCTGCATGTGTGCACAAGATCCCGGCCGCTCACTTGTTCTAGGTCTGGCGGAGAGAGACCCAATATCCGCACGGGTGCATCTTACGCTGCCCTGCTCCCTCTCTCTCTCTCTCTCTCTCTCTCTCTCTCTCTCTCTCTCTCTCTCTCTCTCTNCTCTCTCTCTCTCTCTCTCTCTCTCTCTCTCTCTCTCTCTCTCTCTCTCTCTCTCTCTCTCTCTCTCTCTCTCTCTCTCTCTCTCTCTCTCCACCTCCTTGGTGACCCCTCACCGAATTGGACTCTTTGTTTTTGTTTTTTTTCCCTGGTGACCCACCAGCAAATTGAAAATAAGAACTAAGCCCAGTTTGTGATTGGTGAGGCCAAGTACAGACCTGGCAGCAGTGGCAAGAAGTCGGATTTTGATGTCTTTGTTGCCCTTTTCTTTTCCACAATTTTTCTCGATCGTTGCCCCGTTTTCATTTTCGGCTCTCCCAGCTCACCCAGGCTCTTACCTCCTTGCTGGTATGACCTGGGCCTGCCTGGCCGGCTGGGCAGTCAGCCCAGGTTTCCACACTGAATGGTGTTTTTTGGTCGTTACAGATTTCTCTGGGTTTCGTTGGGGACGTTCCTGCCTACCGCGGTTGGAGTGCAGTGACAATCTGTGGAGTCTTCTCTTCTATCATTCCAATTTTAACGGATGTCCCGAACGACAATGTGTCAATTCTTGTGTTGGTTGTTGGGTGGTAATAACTTAATAACTCCCGATTTTTTTTTGGCATGGCCCATTCTTTTGTTTTGTTTCAAACAAACAAGACAAAAGAAGAAGAAGAAGAAGAAGAAGAAAGATCAAGTGTAGCATCTGTTGTGATCAGGTTAATATCTCATGCGTGGTCCATCGGGCCAAAGAAGAAGAAGAAGAAGAAGAAGAAGAAGAAGAAGATTATGGCATGAGACATCCTGAGGGGGTTCACCCTTGTGATTGCTCAGGAAGACTCTGACGAAACAGCGTAACAGCCCTCAATCGTTGTTGTCCCCCTCGCTGCCACCTCCAGTTGAGCAGGTGGTTCTCTGCAGCGAGTTAAGTTTGCCTCTGATTCTTCACCTCCACCTTTAGTTGCTGAATGCATCAGGATCTTCATTCACTGCAGTGTCGACTACAGTAAGTTGCAAGACCGACCTTTAGGCACTTGATGAGCTGCATGAATTTTTCTGATACGGCATGTGTGTGTATGTGTGCTTGTGTGTGTGGGTGTCTGTGTGGGTGTTCCCTGTACGAAACCCCACAGAAAATGCATGACTGTCCCACACTGTCCTGTCGCACTTTCACCCACTCATCAGGAGCAGGAGAGAGAGAGAGAAAATGTAGAAGTGTTTGGTGAACCAAAAATGATTTTGCCTAAACAAATAAAAAGGATATGCACAAATAAACTAGTTTGGACTAGAGAGAGAGAGAGAGAGAGAGAGAGAGAGAGAGAGAGAGAGAGAGAGGGAGAGAGAGAGAGAGAGCCGAATGCCAATCTGACTGGGTGACCTGCTGTGCAGTTATGCAGGCGGTGTTTGGAGGACTGGAACGAACGAAAGGAAGTTTATCGACGTGTTTACAAGTGAAGGCTGGCCTCAACTGAAAGAGATATTCCAAGTGTATGAAGAGACATATGGACACTCGATCGAAGAGGCGATCGAGGGGGAGACCTCTGGATCCTTCCGCCGGGGCCTGCTGGCAATAACTCAATGCGCACGTTCCAAGGACGAGTATTTCGCTAACCGACTCCGCAAATCTCTGCTGAAATCCATGTCTTGGTCGCTTCGGGATCCTAAGTTCTTGCGAACTTTCTTCCGCTGTGTGGATGACGGCAACTGGGGACCTGTCAAAACTGCATACGAAGCCAAATATGGAGAGTTTATTCTCAGTTTCGATGCGCTAAATGCTTCTCTCTCTAAGGTAGGCCCCCTTAGCAGTGTGTTGTTCAAAGCCTTCGGAGTGGATCAGACTGCGGAGACACCACACACAACCTCCAATCCACAACCCGACCCATCCTCGTAGAATATTTTGTTTGTTTAGAACTTTAGGTTATGGTTTTAACTTTTAACTTGTAACTTACGAGGCTGGATTTTTTTTTTTTTTTTTTTTTTTTTTGGTGCGCCAAGGCACAAATTTTGTGTCCGGACGTGTGCTCGGCTCTGCCCGACCGGGGAGGACTTCTGGGCATCGGTCTGGGTGGGGCCAGCAGAAAAATAAATCAGGAAATCTGGGAAAAAAACTTTTGTTGTGTAGCGTTGCAATCCAAACGAGTTTTGAAACAAGCGGGCCCAGTGGCCAAGGCTGATATTACCAATAAGAAGATTGAGCCCGGGGTGGTCCCCACAGTCTACCCGGAGTGACCGAACCGAACAAGCTGAGAACCGGGATCAGCGTCCCTCATATGATGATGGTGATGAACTTCTGCTGAGTCTATGAAAACAGTTAGATAATGAAACTAGTGATGATGATGCTAATGATTTTTTATGTTTTTTTTTTTTTTTTAATTAATCTATGGTAAAATATAAACTACAACAGCAAAACCTGGCCTCACAATCTATGAGCAACTCCTAGTCTTCCCCCCTATACCAAACACAACATTCGAAAGACAATATCATCCCAACCAGTACCAGCCATAGCTGACGTGTTCTCACTACCTAGACTATACCCGACCCCTAAGGTTATCACGGCAGCCCCCCCAGTTCACCACTGGATTGTCTTCCTCCCTTGACGACTCCCCAAACCTCTCTACGAGGCCACAAGTTCCTGCTACAAACAGGTTACAGGGCTACACTCTGGCACCGACCAACGTCATTCTGGCATTGGCAAATCAAGGGCACAGAACACCACAGCTTTGCAAGGCATCAGCCAGGATTCTACCGCTTCTGATATCCTGCATCCGATATGAGAGGAAAACTAGATGTTGCTTAGGATTGTACGGAAGCCAGATAAACTAGCCATAGTCTAATGATGATGATGGTAATAATGTGAAAACTATTGGTACGCTATAACCTACATCAGCACCACCTACCTTCACACTCTGTGAACAACTTCTAGCCTCCCCCCAATACCCAACGCAAAACTCCAAAGACAGTATCATCCCAACCAATACCTACCATAGCTGACATGTTCTCACTACCAAGACAATACTCGGTCGCTTAGGTTGTCACGGCAGCTTCCCCCAATTCACCACTGGATTGTCTTCCTCCCTCAACGAATCCCCCAGATCTCTCTACCAGGCCTCAAGCTCCTGCTACAGCAGGTCACAGGGCTACGGCCGAGCACCGGCCAGCGTCGTTCTGGCGTCGGCAAACCAAGGAGGGCACAGAACACCACAGCTTGGCAAGGCGACAGCTAGGATTCTACGATCTCTAAAATACTACGTCCGATATGAGAAGCAACCCAGATGTCTCCAAGGATCAGCATGTCTGCCCAGTCCACCTCTCACAATGGATGTCTGTCCCATCTCTCACCATAGGATGTCATGCTAGGACGACTACTCGGGTTTGTGCACAATGCATGCCTGTACTATCACTCACCATTATTATGATGTCATGCTAGGACGACTACTAGGGTTATGGGTTCGACAAATAGGTCACAACGACACGATGCTTGTAGAAATTACAATAGCAGGTTTGCTCAGTCTACCTGTCACAAGGCATGTTTGTACCATCACTCACCATAGGACGTCTTGCAAGGACGACCACTAGGGTTTATGGTTTTAACAGACGTGACACAACAATATTACAGAACAAACACATAGACAGTAATCGTCAGTCAAAGCTACAACAACAACGGTAAAATCGATAAACTTGTAACAACAGAAGGCTGGGCTGCTCACTGCCCAGTCCCCCTCGTGTAGACTAAAATTTCATGGTCACATTGATTGTTTGCATTGTACTTCACAGGGACGCTGGACCCGATTTCCAGCAGGTGCTGCTCCCCACCCCAATAGATGGAGCCTCCCCGGCTATTCTAGCGGTGCCTGCTTGTACCAGCACCCCTAGAACCGGTCCCGGGCAGTTTCTCTTCAAAAAAAAAAARAAAAAAAAAAAAGAGTGCACTTCTTACTAACTAATTGTAAAAAAAAAAACAAAAAAAAATAATTAAAAACATATAAAACAGCACTTTTCAGGGTTGTGAAGGTTACCCTAGGGGTGAAAAGTGGGGGTACCTGTTAACCATTTGTGGGCGAACTGGGGTGGGTCCAATACAGTCTGTTTTTTTGGTTTGTTTCATTTGTTTAACAATAAAAAGTCAGCATCCATGCGCAAAAAGGAGGACCAGAACTCCCCTTTTATTACCAAAGTCAGCATCCATTTTTTTAAAGCTGGGCCATAAACATGCCATGACCTCCGGGGGCTGGGGCCCCCATAGTAAGTTGTGCTGTCTCTCATTTTGTATCAGTGCCCTTAAATCCTACCCTACGACCGTCTGGTTTATCGTCTCTTTTGTGCCGCAATCTATTTTGTATTCATTGCTGGCCGTGTTGCGTTGTTGTCCTGTTTCGACCTGTTTTGGCCCCGCTCCCATCTGCCCGCCCCATCTCGCTTGTGCAGCTGTCGTCTTAAGCCCACAGAGGCTTAATCCCGGACGCAGCTCCATCTGTCATCCCCCCCCCC